AATAAATCAAACAAAGAAACATAAGATTTGACTAACAAAAACAATAGGGTTCTTGACAACCCAATAAAGACAATAGCAAATCAAATAAATCAAACAGAGAAACATAAGATTTTACGTGATTCAGTCAATTATGTGGTTCGGTCAAACTGACCTACGTCGACGGATGAAGGGATAGTAGATTTATTAAAATAGAAAAAGAGTACAAAAGAAAGAGTATAAAATGTAGGAATAATTCTAAGATCCAAAAGGCATATAAAACTGAAAATACAAAAGAGTCTAAATAGCACAAATTGCTTAACGGTCTAAAAGCGCATAACATACTCTTTTGGTTTGATACCTAACCAAAACCAATATTTTGAAAACTTGAAGACCGGCCGGTTCGCGGTTTGATCGATTGAACCACGAACCGGCCATGTATCCGGTCTAGTTCAATTAAAAAGCCAAAGAATTAATTGAACCGGTCAAAATCGGTCAAGAATCGGTTGAGCCAGTAAAAACAGGTAAAATTTGGGAGGTTTAACCGGATTTTATTAAGTATTTATTCTCTAAAATAAATATTGTAGACACCAAAATTTTGTCATTTTATTTTTTACTTCATTTTATTCCTATTTTTTTGTTCATTTTTTAGTTTATCTTGTTTAAATTTTATTTATTTTTAGTTTATTTTGTTTCATTATTTTCTTAAGAAAATCATTTTCAATTCTTTTTAGAAAAGAAAGGCAAAAGAAGAAAGAGAGAAAGAAACAGAAATTAGTTTTTGTAAAAAAAAAAGAGCCCACTCGCGCGTGCGCGACACGCGCTGGGTTTCTCTTCTTCTTCCTACAAAGAAGAAGAGCAAAACCAGTACAGATTTGCAGCTCCATTCTCTTCCCATTTCCACTCTTTTTTTGCATTTTTGCTTTCCCTCCAAGCCCTCCGGTACATGGCCACCTGGCCTTAATCCAAAACATCAAGAATCTTCTGGAATCAAGCCAATCTAATGGCTCAAAAATTGGCCAGAAAATGCAGCAAAATCTCCTCGATTGCTGCTAGGGTCGAGGGAAGTTTTGGTTCCTATAAAAGGCTCCAAATGCAGCCATTAGAAAAAAAAAAAAAAAAAAAGAGTGAGAGGCTGCGGACAAGGAAAACACAGAGAGAAAAGGAGAAGAAAAGAGAGAAAAAGGAAGAAAATTTTTTGCAGAAATTTTCGGAGAATAAGGCTGATTACGAAGGGTCTTTCTCTTTTGATTGGGCTTCATCTGAGGAGCTATCAGTTTCTGCGCAAACTAGGGAGTAGGGGAAGGAGTTTTGTTCAGAAATTTTTTGCAAAAAACATTGAGAAAGCCTTCGAATTTGCCCCTCAAAGTCACGAATCCGTTTGACTGATACATCTACAAATTTGCAAAATTCCACAGAAGCAACCTCTGGTCACTCCCTTGGGTTTCCACCTCGTCTAAAATTCATCTTTAGGTAACTCTTAACCCTTTCCTTTGCTTGTTACAATCCACAGGCAAAAATTAAACTTGTTAAATAGGAACTTTTTTTTTTATTATTGTTTCATGAGTTCTGTGCTTGTCATATGTTTATGGTTGGATCTGACGCATCTTATTAAAAGGATGATGAAACTGGCAAGTTAATGTGAAAGCCATCAACTATGAATGTTTGTCCTTGTTATCTTTGCAAGTTTTGCAGCTCATGATCAAAGCTATGTTTTGGGGCTTTGTTTGGAACCCAGGAATGAAGGCTGTCTACTTTTCTTTCTACTTGCAAATCTGAGGAGGGGGAGATTTTGAACCATTGATCTCGTGCTGTGTTGTTTTCTTGTTGAGTAGAGGTTCCTGTTGGGTTTTAGCTGATGAATCCACTAGTTTTGCTTGAGTTCATGGCTGGTTTTCGTGTGCTGAATAAGCTTTCTGGGTTACTGCAGAAGAAAGCCACGAACAAGATGCATGTGATTTTTGGAAATTATATTTTGACCCCCCAAATTTTGCCTAATTGTATTACAGCTCAAAATCTGGAAAAATTGAACTAATTTTGCCCCTTTTAAGTTTTAATCCTCTTTTTATATTTTAATTTGGGTTTTAATTTTAATCCTCTTTTTATAGATTAATTCTGGATTTTAGGATATAATTAGGGTTAAATATTTTTTAGTTGATTTTTATCTTGTTGGGTTTTGTAAGAAAGTTTAGTTATTGGGTTTAGGGTTAGTTTGGTTGGATTTAGCAAATGGGTTTTGGTTTATTTTTTTGGATTTTGGCATGGGTTTTGGAGGTTAAAACCCACCTTTTCTGATTGGGTTTATTTGGTCAAAGATGACGGGCTGCCCCATCGTTTTTCCTTGGGTTTTCTATTGGGTCAAGGGTTTTCAGCCAACAAGAAGAAATAAAAATGGCCCATCAGCCTTTTACCTCAAAAATCAGATCCGAAAATTGCAGTCCAGTCCCTGGATTCTTGAGTATTTTTACCCCTATTTTATAATAATTATATTTTGACCCTAAAAACTTTCTCAATTTTTGCAATTAGGTCCCTATTAGTTTTGATTTCTTAAACATAAGTTGTTTATCTTTTTTAATTGTTAATTATACTTCATTTAAATGCTTTAATTGGTATATTTCATGTTTATTTTCACTTCTTTATCATTTATTTGTTAATTAAATTGGTGCCTGAACCATTTTGTTGATTTTGAAACATAAATAGGACAAATCTAGCCTCATTTGACCACTACTTCAAGGGAGATACTTTCTTTCATTATTTTTAATCCTCTTATGTGCTTCTATGTGTTTTTTTATATGTAATTGCATGCTTTGAGTGCTTTTTCTTTTAATTACTCATTTTTATGCATTTTTAAGTTTCATGTATTTTATTTAATTTTGATGGATATTTGAGAGGCATTTAAATGCCAAGTTGTAATAGATAGATGTTCAAGATATGTATTTAATTAGGCCATGTAATAGATAGGCTTTAACTTTATCAAAAATGTAATTAGTTAGATTAATGTAATAGTTAAGTTATTATTTTTTTAAAATTTCCTCTTAGATTGTAGTTATTAGACTTTTATTTGCGTTTATTTGTTTGGGTGCTTACGTGTTTATTCGCTTTCACTAGGGTTTTGCATATAGATATTATGTTTATGTGTTATGTGCTCTATGTGATTTATGTGTTTATTTGCTTTAATTATACTTTATATGATTTATTTAGTTATAATAAATGCATGATGTCACCACACTAGTCCAACGCTAATTGTGGTCTTTCTTCCTGATTTCTCACTAGTCCAACGCTAGTGAAGACTTATTGAAATGGGCTAATCCAATGTTAGACCCTTTAGGCCATTTTCGCGCTAGAATTCATATTGTACATGACATTTATTGCATTTCATGCATACTTTTCACTTTTAGGATCCTTTTCCTCATTTGGCATGATATTTCCTTTATACTATCTCTCTTATCCCTATGTGCATAAAACACGACATTTAGACTTGCATTTCATTTAGAAAATTAGAAGTAGGCTAGATCATTTGTTTGATTAGGTTTGGATAGTCACCCTTCAAATATGGAAAATAGACAAGTATGGCTTTTTAACTTTAGCACGCTCGTATCTCCTCTATAGAAAGGAAAATTGAGTTACGAATCTTAGTCTCCCGTACTCGTTATATTGCATTCCTCTCTTTTAGGTCATGTATATTTATATATTATAATTCTTTATTTTTTCGAGTCTTATCTTTTGCATATTCGTAACCTCTTCTAAGAATCATTTTGGGCATCACAATTAATGTGATTTGCACTAATTAAATTTTGAAGAGATATTTCGACCCTCTCGATATTCTTTAGGTTTAAATTTGCATCCATATAGAAACATCCAAATGTGATAAGTTTTATAGGCTAGACTAAGAACATTTTTTACTAAATCACGCAACTAGCCTTGGCTAAGTTGAAAGGGTGGCTTAGATCAAATTTTTGCCTTCCCTTTCTTCAACCGTGACTCCCGAACTCTTTTCTCTTGTTCTTCGAAGACCTGGAGTTATCAAAAAAGAGTTTGTTTATTTTTTATTTAAAAATATATTTTGGGTGATTTGGTACACCTTAACTCAATACTAAGTAACAACTCCTATTTTTTCTTAAAAATCCTTTTTAAACTATTATTTTGGGCCCAAATCGTCGCACTTTTTAAATACTATTTTAGGTCCTTTTTCTTTGTTTATTCTATTTTTAAAATCAATAAATACATTTTTTTAACGCCATAAATTTTATTATTTATTTTCAAAAATGGGTGCGACAAATATTTTAGTTTTATTCAAAATTCTTAATACTTAAATGAATAAAAAAATTATTAAACTTTTGAACCGGGAACCATGAACCGGAAGGTTTTCCGATTCACTTTCCGGTCCGAGTTTAAAAATATGGACCAAAACTCCTCTCAAATTGGGGCGTGAGCTCCCTAAACTCTCTTGAACTAGTGCATACGGCACTTGAACTAGTGCCCTTAGCACATTTAAATTCACTTATATCTATTATATTTATAACCACCAAAAGGAGAGATTTTTTTGTAAAACTCCCGATGTGAGATACAAAGACAAACTCAACAGATAAATCTCTTGTTTTTGCATCATAGAATCATACAACATATTTCTTTCTTGAAATCTTGTCCAAAGAAATATTTAAAACAGCATCTCTTGAGGACATGAATTCAATTGATTCTTGGAACCATTAACTCTTCCTTTACATTAATCAACAGGTCAAGAACAAAAATTAGAGACCACATCTATTATTTGAACAGAAATTGACAAGAGCAAGAAACTCGCTTGAAAGCAGAAGGTAATTGCCCAGGAGGATCACACGAAATCAAGAAAGAGCTCAAAAGGCAATCTGAAAGCGGGTGGTGTGCAATTTTATGATGGAATTCCAGATATTCTAATGGTTTTTCTTTATTTAATTTTTTTCAAAACATTTTGCCAACTTTTTATCAAGCATAAATAAGTTATCCACCTGTAAGAAACAAGAAACAGCATCTTTCCACCATTTGAATACGAGAAAGAGAGAGAGTAATTCATAGATGTATGGATAATTACTAGCTAGTAGTAACATTAACAAAAGAGAAAACGATTGATATGGTCAACTCAACACACACGAGTTGCACAAACTATTAGTTCCATTTTAAATTGTCAATCTGCTTTGTCTCGTTGTAGTCGCAATAATAATATTACAAGCAAGTCAATGCGAATTATTTCGAATATATGAACTCCAAGAGGTACCTTCTCAGGTAGAGTCTACCTGCATCAATAGTGAAAATGTTATAAGATTGGAATAATTTACCCCAAAAGATAATCTTGAAAAATTGAAGGGCTAATCAATCACAAATGTAAGAGAACATTACCAAGATTAACTTGGAACAGAAAACTGGTACCTAGCTAGCTATTAACCTACTAGATCCAACCTGAAACGCAAAATGTGGACCTTAAGCTAACAGCATTCTACATTACAGCGTGTTTGCCCAATAAGAATTTTATATGTTTGCATAAAACGGTAGAATCTCATGTATCTCAAGAGATAGTTTTCGCAGTATGCAAACATATTGATCACGAACTTTTTCTTGATAGTGCACAAGCTGAGAAGGCAATATGTAGGATATGCTTACCCGAGTTGAAGAGATTTCTTGTCAGGGACTTGAAAAACAGGCACACCCTCCATCATGTTGAGTTGAAGCAAATTCCTAGCCAGATAAGCCTGCATTTCGTTGTATTCTTGCCCAGGTGGCACAATGCTCAGTTGCTGAAGCCTTTCATTTTCTGCTATCTGAAACAAAGAATATAGAACATTTTATTTTTGTAAAATATAACTCTTTTTTTTCTTTTGTTAACTTTAAGTGTAGATCTCCATATAGATCTATGTTTAAGCTCGATATTTATCTCTTTTTTTTAGCAAAATTGAACTTTTATTAATCATGTGAAAATCAGGTTTAGAAAGGGAATCTCAGTCACCCTACTACATCACAATCATCTCTAGTGATCTAATCAATCATTATACACATTCTAAAATACTTAGCTATACAAACAAAATTTCTATACATTTGCTCAACTATATCAGACAATCTGAATGTAATCCCCATTCCATATTTATCTTTTAGTTTTCATATTTTTAAGATATAGATATCTGTAACACATGGCTCTTAAGATTTGGTTCACTCCATACCACTAATGGTTGTATCTCTATTCTCTACTAGGCAACATATATACACAACTCTGCTCTTTAGCATCTTCCCTTTATTGTGAATTTCTGTATTCTTGGAATGTGTTAAAAGCATAGTAATTTAGCATCTCCTGTACTGAATCTTACCTTAGCTCTAAGACAAGCATTTTCCTGTTCCAGCTGAATTTCCTATTAACAAGAAAACAGAAAAATTAATAAAAACTTTCGGATACAGTGTATAAACATAAATGCAATTATAAAGCATGGCACCGTAGAACTTAAAAACCTTACCCTCTTTTGCAGGGTATCAGTCTCTGCAAGTATCATTTCATGCTGTTTAAGATGAAGACAAACATGAAAATGACAATGAGAACATAGGAAAATTAAATGTAGTTGGCCAATAGTTTGAATCATCAGTATTAATTTTCATACTTTTCTTGGGAAAAAAAATATCTATATGAAGTTTTGAATAATGCAAGGATGAACCAAATGGCTATATATTAATTATTGAGAGGGCGATAAATTCATGTCCACAATAGAAAGAAAATAATGAAAGCCTATCAGTTTTGTCAGCCGGTGAATGTGTCCATGAATGATAGGCTGTATTCCTTTTATGAGGTGAAATCTAATTCTGGGGCAAAACTTTAGTATATATCCTGAAATATTTTCTAATTTTTTGTGGGGCAAGAGTTTAAATTTACACAAAATTGTTTTTAAAAATTTTAAAATTTTTAAGTAAGAAAAACTTATTTTTCCAAAACTTGGGGGTGGAGGCCCTCCCTGCCACCCCTAGTTCCGCCCATGCCTGTACCTATTTCGTTTTAACGATTAAAATTGGATTGGAGTTGTTTTCTGTCAAACTTAAGTAAAATTTCTATGAAATACTATAATTTAGTGTAAAACAAGGAACCAAACACAAACTATTGATTGTTGTCTCCTTTTTAGTGGTTAAGGTCTTATAGGCAGAACTGATACTATGATTAAACTTAGTCGTCCTATAGGATGACCTATTTGGTTCAATTTTCGGAACAATAATACCTTTTTTGACCTGATTCTTGAGATGCCTCGTTCAAGCCTGTTCTCCAACTGCTTCAGCTCCTTCACATTCAGGGAGCTTAAACCTTCTCCCATGAGATGCCTGCAAGAAAAGATTTCAGAAGCTCGAATTTATATAACCCGACTGACGATCTGATTCTTCCTATAATTGCCACTTAAACAAATTGGACTCTGTTTTTAAGAGTCCTATGACATAACATTTCAGCCTGAACATATTTTGGGCCATTTTTATCTTATTTGAAGGAAAGTGTGTTCACTCTAAAATTTATCAGTAGATGCAAATGTCGAATGATTGATGCCCTTTAGTTGTTAGTAACAACAGAAGTGAAAAAAGACTCCACTTTCTCAATTTTGGCAAGGATATAGAACATTGACTAAATAGGGGCGTTGAACGAATAGAATCTATGATGGTCTTTTCCCATTGCTGATCTAAGTTAGAATAAAGTTAATCTTATACATATCATAGGTATTAAATCAATAAACCAACATTAAATTAAGAGTATCATATCCCAAACTGACTCTTCAATTAGCTTCTCAGATGTTACAATCTCATGCATGCTTCTGTGTAGAAATTGTTGGCAATGGTAAATTTAAAACAAAAAATAATAATAATCACCTGTTGGAATTCTGGATCATCTGTATTTGCTGGCGCAGTTTCTTGGATTCTTGCTGGTAGAACTAAACACAAAGCAAGGGGTTAAAGTCTACAGCATATTTTAGAAAACAGCTAAGTTTCTGTTGCTACATGCATAGAATATTATACACGATTTGTCTGAAGTGCTAAGAAAGTAAGCATTTTACTTGAGCATTGATCTCCTGAGTGGAGCAACTGTTTGAAGCATCTGTGGTTGCCTTCCTGTACCGGTCTATAGTACTCTTTATGCTGCTACAAATTGTTCGACAATCAGTTGTTTCAGTAACAAGAAAATATTTGGAAAATTCTTGTGACAAGTTAAACAAAAATACTACTATTGGTACAATACTAATTCAACCTACAACAAATAAGTCTAAAGCCTTATTTGCATTGCCATTTATCGTGGAAAAGTTATTTGGAGTTTTTGGAAAATATTCGCGTCACATATTTTTCAATCATTTCGTTACCTCAAATACGTCACATTTAAAAGAAAGAAGTACTAAGGTATTTTTTCTTTTTGACAAAAACTTTCAAGAATTTCAAAAAAATGCAATCCCAATGGACTCTAATTATTTACTAATTACAACCATAAGACACAAATTCAAACTGACATAACATATTATGGCGTAGGAATGAGGAAAATTCAGCTGAGATAGACAATTGTGGAAATGCTATAGATTTATTAAAGATGCGATATAAGAGAGCTCAGAGGCAGAAACCTCTGTCGAATGATTCCAAGAAGGGAAAATTACATCCCCTTTTGTTTTCTGGAGGCTTGGGGAAGAACTACTCACAAAACACAGAATCCCAAAGTGTATACAAAAGAAGGCAGACACGCACTGGCACTAACGTGGCTACGTGAAGTTTTGACTCTGATGAGGAAAGTAATGAAACTCCTGTGGCCCCACAGACTCAGAGAAAAGAGAGAGGTATCTGAAGTTTCGAACTGACAAGGTCAACCAAACTTAGCGGAATATGTACTTGGTCAACTCAGCGCCTTATTACTAGTAGCTTTTTCAAGTCTGAGCAAATTTCCCATTCTCCAGTCTCCTGATGTACCCTGAAAGAGGTCCATGATCCTCCTTCAAAGGCTTGACAGAAAGTTGCAAAACTTGTTGAGGTCTTCATGTAAACAGTAAATAAGATAGAAAAAGCCAAAAAACAAATGAAAAGGTTCAAAAACTCTTTAGGGTGAGTAAAATCCAAAGATGCAACCTTCAGGGTGAGTAAGGAGTAAATGTTGGTGAATCCATATTGAATAGAGAACAGAAGCAGTAGAAGATACTGAAAGCTAAAAATGGAATTTAGAAATGAAGCGAGAGAAGTGTTACGACCAGAGAATATATTAAAAGGAAAAAAAAAAAAGGATGTGAATGTGGAGGTGATGTAAGATCTCCCTGCTTGAATAGTGTTGAGCTGAGAACACTAAATAGATGTTTCTTCACGACAGATGACATGATCTAACATAGGAGTGGAAGACAGAGGAGTGGAAAGAATGCTTGGTAAGTGGGTGTTTTTCTGGTGCAAGAGACATTTCTGAGTAGCCAAGCAAGAATGCACACGACAATGAAGCAAGCCAACCTTAGCCACATATGAGTTTAAGTTCAACATCCAAGCATGACTGTCTTCAAGAAGTGGTGGAATCTTAGAACAATGACATCAACCCATTATCCATTTTGATTGAGAGATATCATACTGATGTTCATCAGCCTCACCAATCACCATATCATGAATCAATAAAACATTTACAATGCCTTTCATGCTTAATCTTCTTCTATTATTTGACCACCAAAATGGGTAATTTTGATACTACTTTTTTTAAAAAATTTTGATAGTATTTGTTACATGCCGTTACAGTTAATAAAAAAGAAAAAGAAAAGAAACAAAAATTCTAGGGCGATCATGCTTACTATAAATTGTTGTGGTGAGTGTTATCACATCTTTTGAGACATGTTCAAAAATGATCCATTTTTCTCCAAAAGCCGCTAATCACATGTGTGCTCAGTTAAGATAATTAAAGCATTGGGTTAATTATGCTTTTATGGGAATCACTAAGACCAATCATAAGCTTATCATTTTCAGTAATTGCGAAGGATAGTGATGATGGGATAAGCTGGACTAAACTAAAGTGAAGAGTCAAGTCTGACCAAATAAGTCATGAAACACTCAAAACTAGGAATCAGTAAGTGGCATTTGACAGAGCGGTTTAGCGACAAACCCTCATTAGTTGATGGAAAATGGGAAGTAGATAAGAAGCAGTAGCCATATTGTCATTCAAGAATCTCAACTGTAGAGCAAGTACTTGCTACAAAGTTGTAAAGCCACTGCCTCCACAGTTCATCAACCTTAAACTTATATACTTCATGTATGCTTTATTTTTTCCATATTATCATTCAAGAACCTCAGCTCTAGAACAAGTACTTGCTACAAAGTTATAAAGTCACTACCTCTACATCTCATCAACCTTCAACTAACGTTTTTTTTTTTATTTTTCAAAGATGATCAGCAGTGGTTCCCTACTTACACTCCTTGATGACTCAAACCCATAACCTTCAACTTATATACTCCATATATGCTTTATATACTTCATATTTTTTTCCTTTTCTTTATTCATATATCTTTCAGTTTGAAGAGATTGGCACTGCACATTCGTCTATCTTGAAGTTCCCCTCCTTCATGAGTATTTCATTCATTAATGCTTCACTTAACTCATGGTAGAATGGAAAACAGACATAGGAAAAGCAAAACTTTTGAGGTTTCGTTAGTACTAATTTCAGGTTAGGAATTATGGACAAACTTTTGCAGGGTTGTGGTAATCAGGGACTCGGGAGATGGGAGAGGGGAGAGGAAAGAGAGAGAAAGAGAAGGAAGGGGACAGGACAGCCAGGGAGTACACTTTTCACAGAAAAGAAGAAGAGTAGGACATGAAAGAGGCAGGCAAATTGAAGGCCCCCAAAGATGGAAATAGGCAACAAAACAAATTAACTTGAGTGGTAAACTGTAAGTTCCCTTACTCGTTTGGTGCTTGGATATCATGTGGTACTATAAATAGTATTATGTTTTCTTGGTTGTTCTGATAAAGCGCGGCATTTCAAGAATATGGCAGGGGTGGAGGGTGACAGGTGAGTACTGAGTACTATGTACTGCCACCATAGTAAAAACAGCTGCCCAATCATCCCATTTTTATGTATTCAAATAGTGTGTTGAAGATCTATTTTTTCATGCTTAGTCAGAAGCCAAATATTTATTGAATCATATATTTCACCTCCCAGGAAGTTTAACCATGATTCCTTTTGGCAAGGTATAGTACATTTTTTAAAATTTCCAGTTTAGAAATTTTGGTTTTTTCTTTTGTATATTGATAAGTAAATGCGAAAATGGAACATATAGGGAATACGTAAATAATAAACCAAGATGAAAAGGAAATTGTTCACGTGTTTCATTGTACTACTTTTCATGGAAATTCATTCACAAGGGCACAAATTGGCGAACCATAACTATTTTGGCTATTACAAACAACAAAAGATGCAAATGTCATGGAAAATAATTTCAATATTATCTTTGCTAATTCTATGGGAATGGAGATCTTGGTAAAAGATGACAAATTAGAAATGTAAAATTTTTGTTAATTGAAATTGGTACAAAAAAAATTTTATAGTCCAACTTTTATTGCATCAAGAGGGAATCCAAAACACTAAGCAATTTGTTGCTACAAATTGGAAAAAGAAATGTTAACCTGATTAAGCATTTTACTTGGCAACTCAAGGATGAAGATTGATGGTTTGTGATCTAATTTATAGCTCACAAAGTTGTTCACAGCTGCATGTACTTTTGAAAAAAAAAAAAATTTTAAAACCTAGATATATAATTAGGGGCCCATTTATTGTACTTATTTAAAGTTTGAAGAGCAAATCAAGTCATGTTGAAGTTTAGGGACAAATTTCACTTTGTACCCTTTAACTATATCCAAGTTCTCATTTTGGTCATTAAACTTCAAAATGGGACACTTTAGTTCATAAATTATAAAATTCATTGTACTTAAATCCCTAAAATATATAATTTATCCATTTTAGTTCCTAAAGTATAAAATTTGTTCCAATTTAGTCGCTAAAGTATACCCACTTAGGCATAAAATCTGTCTCACTTCCTTGATGATGTTACTTAAGTCGGATAAATTTTATAATTTAGGGATTAAAGTGCCCTATTTTTAAGTTTAAGGACTAAAGTGGAAATTTAGGTGTAGTTAAAGGGTGCAAAGTGAAATTAACCCCAAAAAGTGATATCCTGTGTAAATTTTGGCCCTATTTTAGCATTTTGCCCACATTTAGGATCCATGGCGGACAGAGCTAAAAATGAATTTGGTTGCTGTAAAGCTATCAAATCATGAAGTTCATTTATAACTTATCATGCATATTGCTGAAACATTAATCCACATGCTAGTGAAGATAATGTTGAGATTAGATAGAAGACTTCAACCACTTATCACTGAGTCAGACATTGTGATAAAATTACTCATCCACTGCTGACATCATTCCTGGCAACCTTGCACTATTGCATATTTCTTTAAGAAACTAGCCATAGTAAAAAATTAACATATTTTGCACTTCATATAAATTTCTCAAAACAAGTTGTGACAAAAGAATAACATAGCAAAAAAAAAAAAAAAAAAAGAATTTGATGCTTATGTATAATAAAGAAGTGTACTTGTGGAAGCAAGAGATAGAAGGAGATATAGCAGCCGGACATCTTTCAGGAGGGATTTTTTGGTTGGGTCTTCCAATAAAGGAAAAAACAATGGAGTAGCCATTAAAACCCAAAAAAAAAAAAAAAATCATTTTGACAATTCTCTTCACTTTGCACATCAACCATTGCAGCTTAATTGATAACATGTCTCAGTGAGTTACTTAACTAGCTATTGAGTAATTGTGTCTCTTCACTTTTATTTTGTCAATTTTCCTCTGCACTTCAAATGATTTATCTAAATAAGAGTTTTAAGATTTTTATCTTCTTCTCCAAATTAAGTAATGAACTTATTTGAGGCTTTTTCCTTTCTCAATTGATAAAAGAATAGAAAAATAAGTGAGTTTATTCCCGCTTTTTTCACAATAATTAGAGGGTTGTAAAAATGTCAAGTGAAGTAACAAGGGTTCCAATGAAAAACTTCTGATCTTAAATATCTACCCTTAGCCTCTTTTTTTTTTTCGTTTTTGGTCTCTCCTGAAAATTTCTTTTTCATTTTTTTCTCTTGAAGGTCTCTCCTGCAAACTTCCGGTATGCGTCAGCCTCTATTTCTGTGGTCTTATTTCTTCCCCATCTTATACTGAATTCCTATTATTCTCATTAGACAGCCAATGACCTAAAGTACACAGGAAATCTCTGATCAGGCTTCATCAATGACTAAAGATTTTCATCTGCTGATTATAAATCTGCTTTTTGCATGCTTGTCTGACAACCTAACTGCCTCTTTCTGACAATTATAATACATCTTTGCATATTTATCACAACTTGACCAATAAATTAACAACAGAAAAAAAGAAAAAGAAGAAAAAAAAAGGCAAGATCTTTGTCACCCACATGCAATTCTTCAAGCACATTAAGTACATTATTACCTAGACATAACCTGATGGAGTTAAGAAATTCGAAAAGTTGCAACATTTCAGCTGAAAAAGTGGTGTTCTTTGAAATGCTTAGCTGAGTAGTGAAAATTACTTGTTGTTGGCATACTCATAGACGCGGCCGCGACTAGAGAAAACAATGAGTGCAACTTCAGCATCACAGAGAACCGAAAGTTCATAGGCTTTCTTGAGAAGTCCATTTCTTCTCTTGCAGAAGGTCACCTGCCTATTAGTGTTGTTCTCAATCCTCTTGATCTCAATCTTTCCTCTTCCCATTTTTCGAGTCTGCAGACAAAAACATTTTTCCAATGAACCCTTTTGATTTTTGACAAATTTTAACAAAATTACTAAGCCTAATCAGATCCATAAAGATAAAAATTGCTACCATATTCTTCCTTTTTTTTAAATTCTCCTCCTTAAGGAAAAGAAAAGATGAAAAGGTCTAGTAACCCTTGATTTTAGAGTCTGGACATCGAAAAAAGGAGTAGAACACCTCTAATCAAGTTACAGTATAAAAAAGATCAGAACTTTGATAGTGGATAATGTACCCAAAAAAGGGAATTTTTTGCTTCTTGTACACAGAACACATCCACCGGAATGGAGCGGAAGACTAAAGAGAGAAGACGAAGTTTTGAAGAAAAAGATGAGAAATTTGTAAGAGATGAATTAGACACTTAGATGCATATACTCTCTGATAAAACCAAAAGAAGGATCTTTTGAACGTTGTGTGAATAAATGGAATAGAAATGGAAATGGCCTTCAAGACCGAAGAAGTAAGATTAACAATCAAATGTGTTCTCAGGTATGAATAAGACATATTGCATAATACAATGATCGTATTAATTTAGATTTTCAAGAACATCAAGTAAGTTGATTTGAATGCAGGATCCTACACTCAAATTACATATGATGAATTTCTAAGGATTAAATACAAACTGGAAATTTGGAGAAAAATACTACCTCCATGTTGATACAACTTCAAAGGCTGCAAAATAAAAATTGATGGATGCAACAGCTCCAAATAGAACTGAAAATGGAATTTAAAAATGAAACCAGAAAACCCTTTGGCTGCACAAGAAAATTTTACAATATTTTCAATGAAAACCATAAAAGATGGCACCAGGGTTTGCACAGATTACGTTGGTAGAAAAAGCCAACTTTGAAGCAAGGAAAAAAGTATATTGTCTGAAGAAAAATATCCAAGATTTTCTCCAAAACTTGTGAAGTGTAGAGAAAGAATATATAGATCATGATGTAAGCCATATTTTGGGAAAAAGCCCAGCTGACAAAAAGATGAGAAAACAAAGGAAAACAAATCTCTCTTCTGAGAAGAATAAGATTTGATGATCAGTAGTGGAAGCAGCAGAAGCAGATCTATCCCTCTATCCCAAAGCTTGACTCTGATGAGTTCCAGACGGAACTTGCATATTTTTTGACATCATAATATTACTTACAAATAAAGAGAAAGGGAAAACGTTTGAAACTGTGCCAAATGCATGGAGGAATAGAAATTAAGAAAAGGGTTGTTTTCTTTTTCTTGAAAGAATTTCAGATGACAATAAAGCACCATCCTAGTAGTAGTTCGCAAACCTGATCAGGTTACTATTTTCCGGCGACTTCAAAACTTTTTCCGAAAGCTTACACGAGTTCCAAAGAATCCCTTCTAGGTGAGGTGGTTTGGCTTCATAGACTACCACTACTCAGCATCTCAGTTTCATAAATCATATGCCATAACCCCTTCATTTATTTATATCTCTTTCTTTCTTTGTCTATGCCTAGCTCAAGCTATGGTTGTGTGTTATGTGAGAGAAAGAGCGAGAGAGAGAGAAGGGGAGAGAGAGGGTGAAGAGAAAGACCCTAAAATGGCTTTTTTTTCCAAATTTATGCAATACGTGATGTTGTGGGATGGTTTGAATTATTAGCTTTGCAGACCAAATTCCCACCAAAAACTGCAATGAGATTGTCTTTTGTAACTGGACGAATATGCCCTTCTAGTGTATGAGAACTATTTTGCTGTACATTTTCATTTATCAAAGAATGCTTTATAAATACAAATCAAAAGTTTCAACAATAGTTGAAATCTTAGCCATTTAAATGTTAGTCTGATCGTTGGATGTTTTCAACTCTAAAACGTGTTGACCCCCAATTAATTAACGTGGAATCACTAATAATGATGCATGTTGGGAGTGCATCTTGGTGCAAATTGGAAATTTGCTGGATGTTGTTCCTTGTCTTGAAATAAGAATTCAGTTTTGACAATACTAAAATGCTATTAATTACCCTCTCTAGCTTCTCCTATCACTAACCACCCTCAATTTTACTCGTTTAGAATGTGTTGCTTGCCTTCAAGAATATTTGTACATGTTCTTTTGAAGGTTGATCTACAATTTATGTGAAGATATACTTATCCACGAAAAGAGCCTCAGCCAATTCATAGATAAGCAGAGTTTCATTAGTTAATGTCTGTTGTACAACAAAGAATATGCTATGCATTTTGTAATAATGAGGACATATATCAAAAATTGTTGAGGCTTTAGGATTTAAAGATCTTGGCTTTCAATCCTCCCTCCTTCTTCGCTCCACTTTTTAAATTTCATCCCTCCCTATTAAAACATAGCATGTATATCAACCAATACAAGTTGACTCAATTGATAAAAACGAGTCACTTTTTCACAAACCATTGCATATTTGAATACTATTGTCGATATAAGGAATGTATTAGTAGGCGATTTATAAAAATTCTTGTAAGTGACCTATGATTCCGGCACCTACCCACCCAAATTTTTATTTATAAAAAAAAAAATGTTTTGACAACAAGAATTAGTTATTGGCATTGATAACTCTCTCTCTCTCTCTCTCTCTCTCTCTCTCTCTCTCTCTCTCTCTCTCTCTCTCTCTCTCTCTCCTCTCTCTCTCAATGTACTTTAATCTCACATCAATCTGTCTCCACATATTCTTGTGCTCATCACTGAAGTCCAAATGGGATAAAATACATATATACGATCTAAAAATATCTTCAAATGTTCCGTATCGTGTAACGATAAATTTACCTACCGAAACTTACTATTTTAACCACGTTACGTTTCCTTGCACTCACGTAGAACCCACGAAAGATGGTTGCTCGAAATGGCTGGCACTGATTCAATTGATGGGCTTGAAGCGTCCGAATTTGCACAACTGATCTAGCTTACGACCAAATTGCATGGCTACAAGACTCAACGGGAATTTACATTAATGCATGCACTTGAATCCAAGGTATGCTACGAGCTCGAAAAAAAAATGGATATTCCACGAGCTCTAGAACAAGAAGATATTTCGCTCACATTGGTAGAGTAACGATCAAGAACCTCCAAACAAATATAAGCATTGGCCTAATTAGGTTGTAATGCCAATGGGGAGTTGCAAAAAAAAAATCGCAACGGATCTTTTATCTCACTTTCCGTGCCACTCTCTATTTTACTTCTTATTATATTGATATTTCTCTTTGATAAACATCATATTTTGATTCTTTTTTATTGTCTTAAAATTTAACGATTATTAATTAAGTAATACACAGATTTTAACAAACTCAAAAATGAAAATACATTAAAAAAATGAGATTTTTTATGAATTTTTGGCTATATTTTTAATTTTCTATTATATATTACTTTTTTGAAACTATTGTATTTATATTTTTTTACTCAATTAATAGTTATTGAATTTTAAGAAAATAAAAGAGAATCAAAATATGATATTTATGAAAGAGAAATAGCAATTTATTAAAAAGTTGGACAGAGAGTGACACATGTATTGAGATAGAAGATCCATTGCGAAAAAAATAGTTACCACAAAAATTTTACAAAAATACTTGGGTAAATCAAATTTATGAACTCATTTGTGGATCATGTAATATATTCAAGAGTTGCGCAGTCATATTGATACATGATATTAAAATAAATAAATAACGCGATGATTGATGTATAATGGATGCAGGTAAACTCATATGGCTTACAAATTACTGCATGGTCTATAAATGAAAGTGTCGATCAAGTCTAGTAGTAATTGCTCAAACACATTGATTTGCATATGCCTCACAAAATTATGCAGATCATTCAATCACCTTTTCATTCAACTTGTGCACATCAATTGTGTAATTTACTGAAAGCCAGTTCCCAAAGCTAGTAACTCATTTTGGTAAAGCACTGATAATATTGTGTATGGTGTACGTTGGTAAAATCGACAAAAAAGACTGTAAGAAAAACGTCTGTTAAGGAATCGTACAATGATTATTGTCCATGGCAAAGTGTTATTTCACTGTTTCCTCATTCTTCGCCATGTCCTTTTCTTATTGTCTTCTTAATTTATTAGTCCACCATAGTACTTCTTCACCTCTTGTGAACGCAAAAACTGAAAACATACGAATGAATTGATCAATCAAAAGGAACTGTAGAACCCATTTTTGGCGGTATGCATTGTTCGATTGATTTTCCAATTAAATATTCGATTTGTCTACCGATTACCGAGTCCTCATGGGATATATTTCATGTGTTATATTTTTAAAAATATAATATTAATTAGAGAAAGTAAATAAATATAAGGTAGGTAGGCAAAATTAAATAAGAAAAATATATAAATGCAAGAGAGGATAATAATTATTAGTATGCGTATATATATGGTACATTAGGTTACTAAACATTGTTAACGAGTACCCTTAGGACACCCATTAGAAAAACACTTAAATATTTAGGCTTGGAAATGTATTGCCCTACTTATATCTCTAGTTCTTAATGATGAAGGATTTTTTCATGTCCACCTTTAGCTGGCAAGGTACGTAATTACAAACTAAGTGATTACATACACACACACACTATATATATATATATATATATATATATATATATATATATATATGTAAAACCCAGATCATAAAAGAATTGTATATGTCAAATGATGATCTTTTTGTGGCCAGACCACTAAACCCTTTGTGCATAAAACTATGATAAGCTTGCCACTTGAGTTATTCTTAGCAAAGCATCTGGGAAAGTGTTTGCTTTAGGAGTGCATACAAAGCCCTCATATTTTGGCAAAACGTGTAACTTTTGGGTTTCCTAATTTTTTTTTTTTTCCTCCAACTCATCCTCTTTTAAAAAAAATATATTCTTTTCCTTCTTTAGTTCTAGCAGTGAGAGGATTGGGGGTAGCCGAGCATACAGGAGCTGAGGGGAGATTTGAGGGAGTGGGGAAAGCCTTTTGAGGTCAATCTTTTCGGGAGTATGTCACCTATTTCATTCGTTATGTAGAAATATTAAATAGATTCTAAAACAATATTTCAATATATACATTCAAATTTACTGCCCCCTTTCTTTTACATACTTTCTCAACATAACATTACTTTTAAAAATATTAATATGTGAGACTTCTCTTAACAAACCCTTAGATTATTGATGGTAGTGATAATAAGTAGCATAACAGCTCTCAAAATATTTTTTAGCTGATAGTAGACTTAATTAGCTAGAAATCATGTATTGTTCTAGTTTATGCCAGTCAGATGATCTCAATTTGCACCCATTGTACAAGTACTCATTCCCAAATTTCTCCATTCTGTCTTTCTTTTATGAGTTTCCAATGTAAAATTATCATTCTAAAAGTTAAATTTGAGGGGCAACTTTCACAGAATTAGATTGTCGACCAGATGGAAAAACCGATGATCTGATTTGACAAGGTGGAAAGCAATTTGATGGGAATGGATTCTCATCACTTCTTCTCCGACACGTTGTTGTTAGTTACGAGCTTTACTTAACAGAACTTTAGTCAAAATTTAGAAAGACAATGAGGAAGTAATGAGCCATAACCTTTTAAAAGTTTAAATAAAAAAATAAAGCACTGAAATAGAGGAAATATGTTTGGTTTAAATTCTTCATATAAAAAAATTGTGGTTTTTATGGGACAAACGAGAAAAGTAAGAATTCCTGTGCGGATATGGATAATGTATAAAAACTTAAACTGCCCTAGAAGGGGTGTCTTACTTTAATAGAAAATGGAAAGTATGAGATTTATCAAGTAGAATATGCATATAATTTGCCTTCTGACGCAACTAATAAACTTCAGCATCATGTACATAGCATCCAAAGTTCTTGTCACCCCTATTGCGAGTCGAGAAAATTTATGGGTCATATTTAAGAGTTCATCTCAAAAACGGATCGGGATTGAAAATTACGATATTTTTAAATGATAGACACAAATATGGAATCCTTAAAATCAAAAAAATGGATCATCTTTAATTTATTTCAGTCATTAAATCATATTATCGCTTAGTATAAGCGTTTTTCATATTTAAATTCCACTTCGCTTAGTATAAGACTTTTTCATATTTAATCCCACTTAAAAGACGTGAAAAGTTTATAGTAGCATTAATCGTTAATCTCGAATACCTGATAGAACTTTGCTTTTGTTGTAGCTAAATGTGGCAGTTTCCAAGTTGCCAACTAGACATGGCCACTGTTACTCCACCGTTTCACTTGCAATTGTGCTTGATCATTTTTCCCTACAAAATCAAAGAAATTTTGCGAGTAAAATGATAAAATCACGTCAATTCATCTATCAACTCAACATGCAAATTAGAGACCAAAATAAGCAACTTATGCCATTTAACTTCACAAATTATCTCAAAAATACTATGAAACATCTTTAAAATATTCACAAAATTAGTCTTATTAACCACGATTCCAGAATCGCCAGTTCTAGTTTAAAAAATAATGGTTCCAATTTTTCTGAAATTTAGAACCTAAACTAGCCCTTACAATTACAGCTCTTGGTTCCAGTTTTATTCCTCTTACGGT